TCGTTATATATATATATATATATAGAAAAATATATTTCGTTGTTGTTTCATTATCTGACAAGATAGACCAAACAGAAGAAATGATAACACAAATCCTGCTTTGTTAATTTTTTCAGGGAGTGGTTTATTTAACGTTATATTTTTATCTCCTTTTTTTTTTGCATTTCTTCTTAAACAGCCATGTCAATAATATCAGGATTAAAACCTTTTCCTACTCAGACTACTGCTACACACTTGATTAAACATAACTCATTGCCAATATGTTCCTACTTACAATATAATTGTAAGGTCCAATTATATGAATAAAATGTAGTGATTTTTTGTGATTGAGAATAACACGAGTTTAGATGTGGGGCATGATTACCAAGAATGGTTTATGATAAACAGCAGTTTCCCAACTTATCCTTATTTCTAGTTACTAAAACATCTAATAAGGATAACAGTTACTTTCTTCTATCTCTTACGTATATCTAATAGAACTGTCAACGTTATTAAGGTAATTAGTAGAGACAGTTAATTACTTTTTACATGCCACCAAATAAAAAACGTGTAATCAACATACCTTGAGCTAAGCCTTCATTCTGCTTATAAACTTTACTCTTAAGTAATATTTTAAGACATGTTTCAACAACGTTAATCATATCAATTATTTCTAAAGCCGAATTCTTATTCTCAAAACATGCAATGGCTTTTTCCATGATTACTTTAGTGAATAATAAAGGAACATCAAAATACATTAAAATATCATTCTGATCTAGTGTTTAATCCTTTGAACAAATTCTAAAGAAATTTCAACTGTATATATTTTTAATACTTTAAAAATGAAACTTCTTGTGATATGAATTTCGTTATATTGTATGCAGAACTCTTAATATTAGAAACAATAAGTACAACTAGCCACAATGTTATGGCATTTAGGCATAGTATATAAGTAACACAAATAGTAAATGTTTTATTATATTTTGAGACTGCGAACACTCTCATTTTTACATACTTATTGTGTACTATTAAACGTGTTTTTTTAAACCTATTCAATACAGTTAATTTTTATAAATATTTATCCATGAATAATAAATCTAAGATTATACAATTCGGTATAATTAGCATAGTTTCAGTCACTATAAATTTCATGTTGAAATCAACTAACATGAATTAGTAGGAGTAAGACTTGTTTGTACTTTTAGTGTTGTATAACGGACAGAACACTTCTTGATAATGGGTATTATAAGGAACAGAGACAAATCTCAAATCTACACTTCAGAAGCATGTATTCGTAATGAATATCCCAGACATGAGATGGATTTTAAATGGGTAGCTTTACACAAAGACTTGAAAAGAATATTTAAGTAGAAGGCTTTCTAGAGGACTAAAAATATTTAACCGAAATTGAGTCTGTTCTCAAACGCCATTTTGAATACTTCATAGCATCTATTTAGAAGTATAGCGGTGTTTAGCGACTGATGATGAAATGGATTATTGTAAGCTAAATACATGGTTTGGTAAGTTTGCCGTTTCGAACGTTCTATTCAGCAGCTAACAGAACTTTCCACGCCTTTTTACAAATACGTTTTAAATATTAGTTGGTACAGTATTTTGAGTCTCTTATTCTGAAAGTTAATGTAATTTTAACCAGTTAATTACAATTATCAATATTTTAAATTATTCTCACGGTATTTACAAAGAAGACATACTACTAGTCACATGTATTTCGATATTTTAAACGGTATATAGAATTATGGGCACCACATGTACAAACGAATATATTATTACAAGCTTTGATAATAAGAACAAATTGAAGCAACATTCGTGATGTTGGCTACGTTTCATTCTTATTGTAAAAACCTCTAAAATGTAACGAAATTAGTCGAAGAGACTGGTGGTAGATGACGTCAAAAAATGTTTGCTTTGTAAATAGGTAGTACAATGCTCGAAAAATTACAACTACAAATGATACAGAAAAATCAGAGTATCAAAATCGATCTAATATGTTCTCGAATTAAACACAAGAACATCTATGAAACGTGCTTTTATTCCCTTCTTTTGGCAACGCTGAAGCTATGTTTAACAAGATAGGCATCCATTAACAATAACTATGACAATGAACTCTATGCCTTCCATGATTGGTCCAAGAGACATGTTACCCAAGTGAAAACTTGAACAATGAGATACTTTGAACATATTTCAAGGAAAGAAGACTACATGCTGGAAAGGATAATCGTGGATAGTGACGCTCTTAATGTCAACTATTGGGCTAATCTAATGGAATAGGGGAATTTAACCGTCACTCTTATAACGCCTCCACGGCCCTAAAAATGCGAAGCGAGATTTTTAGGCAACAGGACGCGAATAATAGATCCTTGAATCCACAGTAAAAGCTTAGCTGGATATTATTATGGTAAAGGCTTAGAAGACGACTAAAGAAAGAGATCTAAGAAAAGTTTCTGTCCGCCCCCACCCCCAGGATTGGGCCAATGTACTTCATGTGGTTTAAGTTAACGTGACAAGATAGGCCAAGTATCTTAACACGAGTGGTCCAAATGACATTATTACGCCATCTCAACAGGATTGGCCCAATGTACTTCATGTGGTTAATTTAACGTGACAGGACAGGGGTCCACGTGGGTAGTCATTTTTGTTGTTCCTGCTTTAGTTCCAATTACTACATTATTAAAGTAAATATCACAAAACTACATCTGCTTCAAAATAAAAATATCTTCAGATGATGTAACCTTAGCAAGAAAAACCCCTAATAATTGATACTTAGAATATTCTATATAGAGGTTAAAAATGCTTAATTGAATTAACTCTTATAGGGAAAGACTTAGTGGTTTTACAATATGATGCAATCGGAACATATGAAAATGATAGTGTAATTTACACTGTGTCTGTAACCTAACTGTTGCGACTAACTTTAAACATTAACTAAAAACAGTTGACATAAAATATAAACCAAACAAAATAAATCACAGTTATTTGACCTGTAAGACCAAAACCATAAGTTGCCATACAAATGTCTACCAGTTCCTAAGTAAATGGGATATAATAGGGCTTAAAGTGAGGATACATTGATTTATAGAGGAAAACATCCTCAGTTTAACATTTTTCATAGAAACCAACAAGCTTTTGTATAACAAAGCAAAGAAAGGAACTTAATATAAGTTTTCGTACTAGCCACTTTGAATAGGTAAAATTTCACATATGGCACTTCATAAGGAACGGATACAACTGGAAATGTTTAAAAAAGTAAATTACTTTTGTCGCCTACCGACAGCTCCAAGTATAATAGAACTGACATTGGGTGTTATTTGATCAATAAAACAATAAACACAGTTACATTATGTGTTACTTGGTCAATAAAACAATAAACACAGTAATATTATGTGTTATTTGATCAATAAAACAATAAACACAGTTACATTATGTGTTATTTGGTCAATAAAACAATAAACACAGAAACATTATGTGTTATTTGGTCAATAAAACAATAAATACAGTTACATTATGTGTTATTTGGTCAATAAATAACATTTGAGTAAAAAGAAACAAAATGAGGCGTTGATTGAATTTCCAGGCCTAATTTGAACCTCGTCCTTAATTTACTGGAGCAAGATTTCAAGAGCAAGGAGACAGGTCTGGCTCGGAGAGACATGTTAATTTCCACAGGCTCATATTCCTAATCACTGTTCGTTTGTTCGTTCGAGGTGTTTATTGAAAAAAAAAGTTCTGAAATGATTGCAGAATACACTACATGCTTTCGAGTGTAGTCACCCGACAAAATGAAAAGTTTTGTTTCTTCATCGGGTTTCTTCATGGATTCAGGTTGAAAATATATATTATTAAAATTCATATATATATTTAAGGGGGAGGAGGTAACAGTAGCGATCTTTTAGACCTATTGTCCCCCAAATATTACGCATTTCATAAATTGTAGTTTCTTTTTCTCCGAGGACAGGAGGAAGGAAATGTATTAAAAAAGTAATTCCAGCAGCTATTAGCAAAAGTGATTTCGAAAAATTGCAGTGTTTCTGTTGCAAGTCTTTCAAATTTACTTTTTGGCTTTTATTTTGGTTCATCGCAATTCAGAAGCCGGGAATGATGCCGTAGGCCTCCAAGCTGGACATTAGCACATAAAATAACCAGAAGGACACAAACACAATAGAGGTTGGTAACTTGTATTTCATGGGTCCTCCTAACTCACCTCCGATCACTTTAGAACGGCGAAAAAGAAGAATGACACAGCAGATCAGAGCACAGACACAGAATAACGTCACAGAGAAGGCTAAACTACCAGGATTCACAAAGAACTGATCTCCCTTTGCAGCGTGGTACACAGCTGCAATGGACCAAGCAATCCCTATTCCAAGGAAAACATTGACGGCATTGCTCCCGGTGACGTTTCCGATTGACGAATCAGCGAAACGGTCGTTAATTGCTGCTACTTTGCTGGCAAACGTGTCTGAAATACATAATATTATTGTATTATTTACCGCTAAGTTAATTTTGTATTACATAGATTTTTTTGAAGCCATGAAACTGAATCATACCATCATGTAGAACACTGATAAGATAAAGAAAAATCAGAAATACGATGACCTGATTGCTCTCGGAAGGTAGACTTTCCTTATTCAAGGGTTAAATGAGAAAACGTATTTCAATATTTCCATTCGTTTTACTTCATCACTTACATAATAAACGCATATCATGTTTTGGTCTATTAGCGCTATTAAAAAGATCAGTTCTTACATAATACGAAAACAAATATATGTTAAAGATTTCTTTTTCGCCAGAGGTAAAATTGAAAACAGAATATGTGACGTGGAGGCCAAATGCATTCTTTGATTGTGGACGACAGTTTCGCCTAATTCAAGGCTCATCAGCACAGATTGGGTCAGCAAACAAATAAATACCATTAGACCTCTTACAATGGTAAAGTGTATATAATATCTATGGTGTTTTGAGTCAGTTTTGCTTCACTATATAGTAACCTAAATTAATTTAGGTATGTGAATAACGTTATGACATTTCGTCTAAATCATTATTCAGTATTATATAGCGGACCAACTGTTTAATGATTATATATGTGTTAAAGATTTCTTTTTACCGGAAGTGAAATTGAAAAGAGAATATGTGGCGTAAAAGTGACATAAAACCCTATAGTTATAATAAACGTTAATTCTTAAACTTTACCAAAACAACCCAGTAACTTTTTTTTTTTTTTACGAAATATCTACTTTGTTGAAATTCATTTAAAAAATTGGCCTCCAAACTTCTCAGGTATACATCTGATGAAAAATAAAACCTTAAACGATATTTCATTATATGCATTTCCGATTACCTGGGACACTTGTACCAAGTGCTACGAAGGAAATAGCAGTAACAGTGTCACGTAAACCTATGGTACAACCGAAGTAGGAAGCCAAGTCTCCGACGATGCCCGTTATCATGCCTATAACGGCTATACTGCTCACAAAACAGGCCCAGCCTCCCCAGTAGTCTGACGTGAGAAAAAGGCACAAATTAGCTATTGTTGGTTTATAATATGACTCAAGTTAGATGCACCGTTTTAAACATTTTTCCATTTATGAAATAACTTATTTTCAACTGTATTGATATTCTCTGAACGTCAGCATATGATACTTTAATATCCTTTTTATCTAATAGATATCATTATTGGAGATTATAATTTTCGTTGATCTGAACAGGAAAGAGACAATGCTTACCTGTAGGTGGAACAAAAGCAAATAGTACTTTCCAAAATATTGTAAAAAAGTGCACGACGTAATCTCCCCAAGAAGGTAGTTTTTCATCATCACCTTCTTCACCTCCTTCATCTTCCCCTGAAAGGAAAGGTGTTTTAAAACACAGTTGGAAATTTAGATATGAATTTTCTATGTCAAACAGATATTATTATTATGACCTTGACTGTAAACTTTGAAGAACATCCCACTAAATGACCTGTATTATATTCATTATAAAGGATTCGGGCTGGCCCTGTGGTCGAGTTTTTTTATTTCGGAGACAACGAACCGGGTTCGAATTCGTGCGATACTACAAAATATTCCCAGCAATTTACGCTGTTGGTGCGTTATAAGAGTGACACTCACTCACTTAGTGTGGATGGTAGGTAGTAGGATGCTGCTAATTGGCTGCCTTTTTCTGCTCAGTAGTTTAAAATTAGGAACGGTGGAGACAGCTTTAGTATAAAAAGTATAAATAGATTATATTGCTGTTAACATTGGGTTGGGCCAATCTTTGGGGGTTAATCATATCCTGGACTTTGTGACTAAAGCTTGCTACCAACGGTTAAGCACCCACGTGGTTGGAACTGAGCGTTACTCTTTTTAGTGAAGCATCACTAACTTACTGTGATCAAAGTCAATATTAATAAGTGTAGGGAGATTTCGGGGTTATTTTCTGAATTCCAACTGGTTGTGTGTCCAAAAGCAATGTTTTGGTTTAGTGTGTTTGGGTTGTAGCTTATTTCACTCTCATATCGCTGTAGCACAGAATTTGAAGACAGTTAGCAATGAACCTATGCAGGTACTGTGTGCACTTGGAGAAACCTCATAATTGTGAAAATTACTATACATATGCATATCACGTTAATTGACAACCACCATATATTTTTAGGGAGAAATAATAAAATAACGTTTTTTCTGAGCCTTAATCGAATATTAATTCTAAAGTAAAGCTAATTTAAAATTCAGAACTTTTAAAATTAAAAAGAAATTAAGGAAAAATTCAAAATCTGAACTTGGGGAAAAATGCAGTGAAGTAAAATTAACACGGAAATTCAGAACATTTAAAAGTGTTGAAATAAATAAAAGGAATTTAGATTCATAACATCTTAAAAGTCAGATTTAAAGTAATTAAAAGGATCGAAAGAGAAGAAATGATTAAATCACAAAACTCATAATAATCACCTTTTATTTTTTTAAATAATGAAACTAGGGCTAACATTCTAATTATTTAAAAACCCAATAGCACATGGGAGGAAATAATTATTTATAAAAATATTTATTAAAAAAACAGGATTTACATTGCACGTGAAGCCAGGTGGAAATCATTTATTATACTAATTTATTTTGTACATTAATACTTATAAAATTTCTTATTGTTTGTTTGTTTTTTAACTTCACGCAAAGCTACACGAGGACTATCTGCGCTAACCGTCCCTAATTTAGCAGTGTAAGAATAGAGGGAAGGCAGCTAGTCATCACCACCCACCGCCAACTCTTGGGCTACTCTTTTACCAACGAATAGTGGGGATTGGCCGTCACTTTATAACGCCCCCTACTGAAAGGACGAGCATGTTTGGTGTGACGGGGATTCGAACCCGCGACCCTCAGATTGCGAGTCGAGCGCCTTAACCATCTGGCCATGCCGGACCTAAAACTTCTTAAGATACGCAGCTGCAGGCCTTTAGAAATTCTATTTCGTAATGTATCATGGGATTCACATGCAAATTCATTGAGAACGGGTTCATCACTAGTTAATAGTGTATATTATCCCAATACTTTTGATGTCACCTTTCTTCTGAATTTTGCAGATTAATAAATAAAATTTGCGAATGCTCCAGAAGGTAAACTTACAATTTTAATGTATTAAAGCTGTCCCATCCTTTTTTTTTTATGTAGTCAATAATACATGTAATGCGTAGAATAATGTGACTAGCTTGCGCTTCTCTTAATTATGGGTGAGTCCCCTTATGGTGTGAAATGAGTAAAAACCGTAATGAAATGAACCAAATTTGATACACAAATAAGAGACTAGTTGAGATAAGTTTATCAAAGAGGAAAGATGTATGCCCACCCCTAATGAAACATTGGACTTTTATTTTGCACACTCAGTCACACCATTCCTGGAACAAATCCAAATTCCTTCTCCACAGCCACGTCCTGTTAAATGTCTGTTTTGACTTTCAGACTCCTGTGTCAATCGCTCGAAATCGTGTTCAGTTGTCATTTTACACGTTAAAGAATATCTTTTAAGTACATCTTATATCTTAAGAACAGTTTAAATATGAGTACTTTCTTGACATAAAAGATCACACACTTACGCAAGTATACATGTAAGAATTTTAAAATGTTCAAGTCTTCCTCCTTTTCAAAAGTTTACTTAAATATCCATCTCGCAATAAAATAACTGAAACACACCTTAAAACGTTTAATAACATTAATAAGTTTATCTTATTTAAAATTTTTGCTAATAAACAGAATATAATTTTAAAAATTGAAGGAATTATTTTATAGTATGCATTAAATAAAGACTGAAAACTCTGCAATAAGTTACGTCTTTGCTGAGGTGACAATATGGATTAGTTACTAAATTAACTTAAACTGGCCGAGTTAGGTTTAAACTTAGCAAATCCGCAACAATAAAAACTAAATAACGTGTCATATCCACCAGATATAGATCTGAAAAGTACATTTAATTTGTCAATAAAATATTCATTAAACTGTGTATCTTATTCCAAAATTTAGATTTTTATGACGAAAATTCCTTAATAATAATAAACAAAGTTTACTCTTTCAATATCATTTTAGTACTTTTAGGCATAGCAACAGCTCAGAATTAGAGCAAGATTAATTCTGAGTACCCGAGTTTAATTCTGAAAATTTCTTCAAACATCTGGGTGTGTTTCTTTGAACAGAGACTAACGCCCAATAACCACATTATATACCCGTATTTTTTCAACAAAACCATGCTTCTTTACGAACGAAAGTACTGGTTACAACAACAACATAACGCTATTTGAATAGATACAAGCTACATAACATAGTGGAGTGGATCCTGTCTTGAATATGTCCAAGTTCCACCATTAACGCTATTCTGTTTTGAGAAATGAAGTGTTCTTCATCCAACCTAGGGATTTCAAAGCATCATTTTTGGTGCTTACAAAATCTAATAGCGTTGTAAATTAAAATGGTAATATTACCAAACACATAGTTAAATTTTCATTATTCTGTCGATATTCTGTCATATCTTTTCAGGAAAAGAATCGGACAAAACCATAATAATGTCCTACCTGCATTCACGGTGACAGCTTCGATGAATTGTTCTCTCCAAGAGGATGTTCCAAGCGTTAAAGACACATTGGCTTTTTGGAATAATTTATCTACTGTACTCTGAAGAAAGAAAAATTTAAAGTTGAATTTCTTAGAAATTAATCCCTAACTCAATAGTGTAAGTTAGCTCTTAAGCTTAGTTCGTTTTCATTAGTTGACGGCAGCTCTCTTAACACAAAACAGTTTGTAATTAATCTTAAGTTTAATCCAGCGTTTTCCCAAACTATGTTTCGCGGAACACTGATGTTTTACTAAAATATTTAACACTTTTTGTACGATCATGACTTATTATGAAATATTTTCTTATGTATTAGAATTAGATAATATCGATTACACATTGAATAAGAATTACAGAATATACCATATCTATTGTACATAATATCTTAGTGGAGAGATTTGTACCTAAAATATATTATAAGCATAAAAATGTAAAAATACATTAATATGTAATTTGATTAAATAAATAAATGAATAATATACAAATATAGATGGCGCTGCGCGTACACACATACCTTCTACTCCTACATTTCACGTGTCTTGTGTTCCGTAAGCTTTTCCTCAGCTGAAAAGTGTTCCGTGGCCAAAAAAGTTTGGGAAACGTCACTTTAATCAATCGATCAATGCAAGAGTTTAAAACGCCTTTTGAGGTTAATGTAACGTTATATATTTTCTACAGCTGTCCGGTAACATTATAATCCTAAGCTCAAAGGACATTTCATTCCCAGTACAGAAACAAAAGCTTTTCGCTAGGTGAAGGTGTCGTTTTAACAAATTTAAACCTGTCATAGCCAGCTAGGTGTTGGTGTCGATATAAAATAAATCTGCCGTGTCATAGTCAACTGGGTGTAGGTTCTGATTTATAATAAGTATGCCGTGTCATAGTCAACTGGGTGTAGGCTCTGATTTATAATAAGTATGCCGTGTCATAGTCAACTGGGTGTAGGTTCTGATTTAGTAATAAATCTGCCGTGTCATAGTCAACTGGGTGTAGGTTCTGATTTAGAAATAAATTTGACGTGTCATAGTCAACTGGGTATAGGTTCTGATTTATAAATAAATTTGACATGTCATAGTCAACTGGGTGTAGGTTCTGATTTAGAAATAAATTTGACGTGTCATAGTCAACTGGGTATAGGTTCTGATTTAGAAATAAATTTGACGTGTCATAGTCAACTGGGTGTAGGTTCTGATTTAGAAATAAATTTGAAGTGTCATAGTCAACTGGGTATAGGTTCTGATTTAGAAATAAATTTGACGTGTCATAGTCAACTGGGTATAGGTTCTGATTTACAAATACATTTGACGTGTTATAGTCAACTGGGTGTATGTTCTGCTTTAAAATAAATATGCCATGTAATAGGCATTAGATGTGGGTGCTGATTAAGAAACTATAAAGAAGTCAATCTAACGTTACTGCCATAACTAGTTGGGTGTAGTTGTTGATTTAATAAACTAAACAAGTAGATGTAGCAATCACTTTGATAGTTAGCTGGGGGTTACAAATATAAAATAGATCTTATGTAACTGTCATAGCCAGTTAGATATAAATACTGGTTTTACACATCCAACAAGTACATCTGGCGTAACTGTCTGGGTAAAAGTACTTATTTGACGTACTACACAGGCAAGTGCGACATAAACCAGGATTTCAATAGAATTAACAGCGAGCTGTTTAAAAGTCACAGAATTGGTATTAAAAGCAGTATTGCTTCCATACATTTATCACTAAAGCTTTACTTAATTTGGTAGTCTTGGTTACTGTGAGTTGAGACACGTGTTCAACAGCAGGGAATCACTACACCTTGTTTCGGAATTTGTCTTTCATAAATTCTAAAAACAGCGTAATAATACTCTTTATTACTCATAGTTGCTGTAGCCAATAGCCTTTTGAAGAACAGGTATTGTCAAGCTTATTGACGATTCTAGAATTTACACGTTCTTTAAATAACCTCTCGTCTCTGAAACATAGTGACATTTTTATATATTTCGTGTTTGTTTTCATTTTTAAAAAATAAACTGACAAACAGCCTCACTGACTTTTAAACATGCATCTCTACGCTGCGTAGCACATTCTATCAGTAACAGCTACACCAGATTCCGCAGCTTTTCTTCCTAGCAGATTATCATGGTGCAATAGTTTAAGCTACATCCATACAGATTGAAATGACGATTTTGTGTTAAACATTTCATCACCTTCCGAAGATATATATATTTGTTTTGTATTAATGCAGCATTTTTTATCTTGACTTTAAACAACCATAATGAATTATGCAATACAATTAGTGAAAAAAATTACAGTTACACTTTACTGAGAGATACTAATAATTTAAGTTATCAAAGTTCCCGTACACATCAACTATACTACATGCATGGAATTTAATATTTTGATTGTTTTTCTCAGAAATGTTTTGTAAGTTCGAAAGAAATTGTAAATATAAACAGGGTACGAAGATTAGAATTTCTTTAATGTATTTTATGAAACGGAATCTAATATATATATATATATGCACCAGCTGAATCTTCAGCTCAGTCTGTATGGATGTGGCTTAATATATTGCACCATGATAGTCTGCTGGATAGAAGAGTTGCGAAACCTGATGAAACTGCTACTGGTAGAACGTGCAACACAGTGAAAAGATGCATGTTTAATGTTCGTCTAGGTTTTTTTTTGTTTTTTTGTACAAATGAAAACAAAGAATATACATATGCATATGTATATATATATATATAGTTTGATTTGTAGTAATTTACGGTCAACTTATTGCTAATTGTTTAATGATAAACTTACCATGACCATTCTTAAGTTCTTGAATCAGTAATGGAATTTTATCTTTAATTTACGGTCAACTTATTGCTAATTGTTTAATGATAAACTTACCATGACCATTCTTAAGTTCTTGAATCAGTAATGGAATTTTATCTTTAATTTACGGTTTATATAAAAGTTCTCTAATTTTAGTATTGCTTATATCTTTGATAGTGATTGTTTGTAAGCCCTGTATTAAAACAAGATTTTCAGTTGAATCATAGTGACTTTTTATAACCTTTGTTCTAGTGAAGGACTACAAAGAACACGACACAATTTTAACTGAATCACGTTACGCACGTAAGTATTGAGGTGGTCTATATACTAACATTGAGTAACGACAAAAAGTGAGGAAGTAATTTCAATGATATTGCATTGTTTCTTTCTACTAGCATCTCTAAACACTTAGATCTTTATACATTGCTTTAGACATCCTACCAGTAGAAGTAAAAGTGAAAATGGATAATATACTCATTACAAGTAAGATTGGTATATTATATTCGCTATATTCATTACTTGGTTAATTTTTAGTTGTGACCTATGCAAGTCACTTGCTTTGATCAGAAAATAATGACAATATAGTAATTCAAAGAATACGTGTTATGTTCTGGTTCTGGAAATAAAATATGTAAATTATATAGTTACTAGTATAAAAGCCCATCAAAAATGATGAGAAACCAAAGTTAAATCCTCAAATATGTATTTGCAACAACTTTGCCGCCCGTAAACAGACATAAGAAAAATAGTTCTCGAGACAATCTTCTGTTACTTTCTGCTGGTGTTTCCATTATTAAACTTCAAAATGGTTCTGTATTTATTCTGCAGCTTTGAGTCTATCATATGCTCTTCCAGTCTTATCTATATTTCATCAGTGAGTGACCAATTAGCAAATGGGTGGCAAATCTAAATTGTTTCGTAATTTCGACTTCGTCGTCCAGGGAAGGCCATTTTTTGAGAATTGAAAACGTTTTCTGGCGTAACTCGACGATTTAAGAAAGGTACGTTTTCAAATTGCTAAAAAGGTGCAATTTTTTGTACATTTTAGTCCAAATATATCTGTAATTTTCGATCAATCGTAGACTATTCGCTTCTAATCAACAGGAAGCCAAACTACTTAGATTACGTAATATGTTGTTATGACAGATAGACAGATACATACTATGTTTTATAGTATTAGATATACACACATTCCTATGTTTCATTGCTTACGAAATAGGTTTTTATATATTTAGTCAACATGAGCGTCTATAGCTCTATCGCTTGGTTGAGGTGAGGTAACTTTAAAGAAGGAAAAAAATTATACATTTTGACAATAGAATATCTGTAAAATTTGTAAAGCATATAAACATATGAATTAAACACTATTAATGATTTAATTTACACACCACCGTTAAATCTTAATTTTTTATGTAACTTCAAAATCAAGTAAATTGTTTTTACTTTAAATTCTTTGCTCTCTTTGATCTTGATCGCACATTTGTACCGCTCCCCCAAGCGTGGTTTTCCTAGGAAAGCAATCTTCTCTGCTTCTGTAAATTTCTTGTTGGGAGAATTATCGTTGATGTCCTGGCCCGTTTCTACGTTCAGAAGATCTGGAAAATCTTTAGGAATTAGGGCTTTTCTAAGAAGAAAAATCTTTATTAAAAATGTTCACCAAAAATCTTTAAACCTCTTGAAACATAAACCACTATTTTCCCTAATGAGTATTTTCATTTCTTTAGTAGATTCCATGTGTTTTGGTTGTCAGTCCAAAGTTACAGCATCCCTGTAACATGCCTGGATTTACAAACTGGACTCTGTATCTTGTAAATAATATTTCCCTACATTAAATATAAAATTCGATCAACATTAAGTCGTACTGAAACAATATTTACGCTTTAGCTCTTTCTTTAGTAAAACAACAGAATGCTGGAAAACTTATCATTTTGAAAGGCTGTTTTAGATCGATTAATAGTAATTAAACGAACAAGTTGACGACCCATATAGAAAATAAAACCTAAACCATCAAAATGACAATTATGCTTTAATAATCCAAAACATCTTAACCTATAATAAGTATCCGAAACGTGTGTATTAAGTCCAAAAGCAAAAGCGTTTTATCTTTATGATCTAGCAAGTGACAGGTGGAGATTTCTACATATATTATGGATTAAAACTATTTTAGCACCTGAAAGAAATGGAGTGCAGAACCTTTATCTTCATATAAAATGTAATGGTATTGGAAATGCGATACAGAAATTATCTTGACAGTTTGTTCACAAATTTCTTTATTATTCTTGGGGGCAGAATTCAAGCCGGACAACCAGTAAAAGCGTCATTCTGTTGCACTTCTGTGCGGACGAAATGTGTGTATAGGTTAATACGAAAAGTCTCAATTTCAAATACACCTCAACTAGAAGCAGAGACACAAATTTAATGTACTCTGAGATGATTAGTTCATAAAACTCAACATGAAATCACAGTAAGAACAATAAAGGTCAGAAGTCACGCAAAGGAATAGTGTATTTAACAAGAATTTCAAACATTTCGGTGTTATATATATCGAGATCTAATAAGCGAAAAATAGTGGGATAAGAGAGTGTGTGTTTCCAAAATTTAGCACCAACTCATACATCTTATAACTCTAAGCTGGAAAGGCAGTTTTTCTCTATAACTTTTGCTCAGAACAGTAAAAAACGTTTTAAGTTTGATTAAAAAAATAGAAGAGGTTTATATAATCTAGCCTATTAGTATCATGATATCATCAAGTTCTTTGCCAGCTTTGACAAGAGATTAACTAAGATATCTTTAGTGCATCTAAATCTCACAGAAACAAAACAATGAAGAAAGAAGTTCACGAAAAACAAAATACTTCATGATTTATTCACGTTAATGTTTGATGGAAGAGAACAATGTTTAAACTCTGCCCCGTTTAACAGTTCAGCATATCCTAATGTACCGTGTATGGATGAGTACATAGGACATGGGAGCGAGGCTACTCTGATGAGAATCAACCTCGTATAGAGTGATGTTTAGTCTGAGGAACGGCTGATTATCTCACTGCCTACCACGTCATTTGGTAACTTCCACTAAGAGAAAAAAGGAGGGCATGGTCTTCATTATTTCTACTGTTTTACACGATTATTAAGACAAGAAGTCTGAAGAAAATCGTCAGTCATCTATAAAACTAAAAGTATCAAAAACAATAAAAGATTGATCTAAGAACAAGCTATGTAACAATGTAACATTGATTAGCATTTAAAGCAAATGATGTAATATTACTCTTACTAGCTGCTCCTTGTATTTATAGGCTAAAGTCTGTCAGCTGATACAGACTACAACCCCCCCCCCCCCCACGACCACCAACAAGCTGTATGTAACAATATGCACCAACGAAAGTTTATGAATAAGATATTAATGTTTGTGGATAAAAGAAGAAACTCCTGGTGCTTTTCAAATGCTACACTATCATAGAATATATCACAACTGGCGAAGCATCACACTAGCCAGATCTTTTTTTTTCCATTACTCTTAATAAGTTTATTATGAATTTCAACTTACATTAATGTAAACTACCCTTTTTAATCTGTTTTTGTCTGTCACATGTCAATGTTCAGGAGCCTTTTGTTCAATATCAGAACCTGTCAGATGGACTGCACATGTTGCTAATCAAATTTTGTTTTGTCATTTCATTCCAGTCTCAGTAAGGGTACTGGCGGGCCAGTAGAGGGCTGCGCTCTGTCATTGGCCAGGGGGAGTATATGTATTGTGGTAAACATTACTAATATGTGACAAAGTGTGCTCAAAAGGCTATTTTATATACAGTATGTAATATTTAATGTTATGGTTTTGACACCAAAAGCCGTCGAAGCAATAAAATCAATAGGGCTAATAATAATAATGATAAAAATCGCATTGCTCCCAGTGGCTCAGCTGTAAGCTTGCAGGCTTAAGACGCTAATATTCGAATTTCGATACCTGTGGTGTGTAGAGCACAGATAGCCCATTGTGTAGCTTTGTGCTTAATAACAACTAAGGCGAATAAAGGTGTATAACGTCCGCAGTCTACTGTGATGTTTCCACTGTTAGGTTCTGAACAACAGACCGACATTATGTACGCTGTTTATTCCTGCCAAATAAAGTTACAAAACATTTTATATCTGAAATGATCGGAGTAACTCTTATATTTCCCACCATTTTTTATTGATAGAACACAGAAGATATGTCTGTGGTGCTAAATATTTTTACAAAGTGTTCCATAAGTGACCTCTTTGAAGTAAACCTCTACCGTAAAATCCTTTTGGGCAACCAAAATACTTTTAATTCACTATTATTATAACTTTCACATACTTTTTTTTCACAATAATATTGCCCCCCCCCAGTGGCACAGCGGTATGTCTGCGGACTTACAACGCTAGAATCCTGGTTTCGATACCCGTGGTGGGCAGAGCACAGATAGCCCATTGTGTAGCTTTGTGCTTAATTAGAAACAAACAAACACAATAATATTAATGTTTATCCGATCCAAGAAACGAGAACTCAGAGCACATATTAAAATACTTTAATTAAAAAAGTATGAAAAACACGCAATATGCAAGTCACAATTAATTTTTTTACAAGTCAAACATATAAGTAAGTTACGTCACGTGACACAAACTTATCAACTTTACTCAGTTATGAGGTAATAGTCCGGGCTAGAAAATGAAATATAATCCTTTCGGTCAATTTTATTAACCATCTACCTAGAGACTTTTTTTTTTCACAGTGTGATGGTTTGTTTGTTTTAATGTTAAGCACAAAGCTACACAATGGACTATCCGTGCTTTGCCCACCACGGGTATCGAAACCCGGTTTCTAGCGTTGTAAGTCCGCAGACATACCGCTGTGCCACTGTGGGGCCAGTGTAATGGTACGGGGCTACAGGTTTATCAAAATGACTCACAGCCATAACGATAACTTAGTTTATAACTCGGTAAGGAAAAACGTGAGCAAGCATCCTAATATTTCACACAGGCATGTAGAATCATCAGTTTATATGTGTGAAGAGGGTTAAGTTATTTTTAAAAACTACTGTGCGGAGTTGAAATATTGAAGGTTTACAGAAAGTCAATCGCACTTTATAAGAAGAATCTGTATATGCTCATGCATTAAATAACGTGTTTAGCACCTAAATATTTGGCTCACGGCGAATTCTCCTTCACTAGCAGAAGATATGGCTGGTGGAAGGATATTTGTATAGCTGAACAATGTAGAACCGAAATGGAAATGGAGAAACTTGCACAGAAAAATGTTTAAGACAGGAACAAGTTAACGTTGTCACATCTCAAAACAATCTGGAACATTTTTAGGCAGAAAGTGAACATCCCCCCCCCCTCTAATTGGCTATTTCGATAAGTTGGGCATATCTCGAAGCACCATTAACAAAATAACAAGTAACGATTTAGTGTTGATAAAGCCTCATGAGCTTCCAGACATACCTCAAAATTAGTGGTTGTTTGTAAGAAAGGTAGCCGATGAAAGCGGAACCACAGCAATCCCATTCGATAATATACTTATCAAGTCCTGATGTAACTACAATAGAATTCTGTGCCTTTTTTTCTTCTCTATTTGAATGTGGTCTTGAAAGCCGATGTCCATTAACACTTGAGGGTTATTTGAGTTTCAGTGCAAAGATATACAATGCATTACTTGCGCTGTGCCCATTGAAAGGCATCAAATCCAGATTTTTAGCATTATAAGCCCTCAAGCGTACAGCGGAACCATCGAGTGGTACACTGAAGGGCCTCTGTAAAGTTTTCAAGTTGGTTCTGTAAAACTGACCATATCAGCCTTAGTAGAATTCATTACAATGGAAATTAGGATGTCGGGCAACAGTGTGTAATCTTGGCCATTATGATAAGCACAATCGACTACAGTAGTAGTTCTAAGGGCAGCATGGGACCTGGAATAACTTTCTTATAAAGTGAGATTAACCCTTATTAAAAATTCACTTACAAACACACACTTGAAATTTAACTTTATATTTTGTGAATAATAAGCTGCATTTTTGTGTCTCTCGGAAGCATCAACTTCGATTGCTTTGTAGGTTAGTAAATAACTCCAAGTAAAATAATGGTAATAAAATACTGTTAGTAATGGACTTCCATTATTCGTATATAACCAGAACTTTGCAACAGTGCGAAATAAATGTGTTGTAGGTCAAATTGATCAAATCAGTAGCTTTACAAAAAATGCCGAATAAATCGTTCTTTATTTTATATTTTTGTCTGGATAACACAAAATATTCAAATTATTTCCCATTACGTCCAAGACAGTACAGAAAATATTAGTCCCAGCTAATGAAATGCAGTATTTGTACTTTTTATAAAAAACTTCAAATTAAATGAAAATGTTCATGTCCGTGGTGATTAGTTGATGTTTATACATTTTCAATGAACATTTTATGAACAAAGTAACTACTATGCTTAGATTTTAGGATTAACGAAGATGATCTATCCTCGTTGATCATAAAAATGACGAAATATAACAGGTTTAGCCTTCACACATGTTATATTTAACTTAAACCCTTATTCATCGATTGAATGTAAACTGATATAACTGAAGCTGTGTTCCATTGAATGTACTTCTTACTGATGTAAGTTTCTATGTCTTACCTTCTTCAAGTTGCGGATTTCCCAACTCCAAGTAAAACACTATATTTTTCTCGTAACTTTCATTGTCGATGATATGAATAGGAATATCCTTGCTGTGAAAAAAAAAGAAGATATATCTAGTTTAAGTATTTTCAGACTTAGTATTATGAAACATTTCACTTACAGAAAACTTGTCTTAACGATGAAAACTTATCACTATTTTCACTCGGATAGAATGTTAACCATAGTTGTTAACTTACCACATGAACAGGACACGCTCTTCATGAAACAGCTAAACATAAGACGTCGTTGATTTTTAAATAAATTTAAATTCAATATCGTAATATTTTCACTTTATCAGCATCTTAATAGTGGTTAACAATGAAAAAAATCTGTCAGTCTATTGTAAGTTCGGATTCTTTTACACTATAAGCATTTTAACAGTGGTTAACAAAGAAGTCATTTTCTGTCAGAGTCCATTGTAAGTTCGGATTCTTTCTACTATAAAGCAAGATTGCGACCTTTATGAGCTTCAGAGTTTAAAACAATAACACTTCTGTGTGCTGGTACGATATTTAGACAATATTAATAGACTGTCTAAAACGTATTCTATAACTAGCTAACATGGTAAAGTGGAATGAATCGATACATAAACAGCTGCTCAATGTTTTTTCTTTTCAGATACATACTTTTGCTAGTGGAAATCTAAAATGTATAATTTCAGGAAAGTTTTATTTTGTGTTTAACCGAAAGCTACACAATGGGCCATCTGCGCTGTTCTCACCACCGGTATGGAACCCCAATGTTTAGAGTTATAAGCCCACAAGCTTGCAGCTGAATCAGAAGAGATATGGAATATAAAAAAGTTAGAACGAATTTAAACTTCTTGTTTACGATGGTTTCGATTCTAAGAAATAAACGAAAAAACAAAAAGGAAGTTTGGTAACTTAAAGATTTTGAAGTACGTTTTATGTTCGTTTACAAATCTCGCGGAAAAGACTTTGCAGAACTTAAGATACAGATTTAAATAAAATATTATGAGTAAAAATTTTTCATTAAATGTTTGTATAAACTGTTTATATGTAAACTAAGATTCACAAGGATCGGGAAAAGATAGCCGCTCTCTTATTTGTCTAAAGAAAATACTTATTATTCTTCAAACAAGTTTTTACCGCCATGTTACAAGTCACAACAAATTCCTATGTATGTTGTCACAAAATTAGCAGTTATTTCATTTGGTCGTTGTTTGGTTATGCCACCTGAGATGATCAAGTACACCTGGACTTCTACAATTAGCAAGTCATCATCATCATCTTCATCGGGATTCGGTCCATGTTTTGGACCAGTGAGGGCCAGGTTCAGCGTAGACTACAATTAGCAAGTCAGGTTTGTATTCCTCTAGTTGATGTTGGTCTGCAAGACTCAACCCACGCTCAAGGTTTGTGTTCCTCTAGTTTATGTTGGTCTGCAAAACTCTACCCACGCTCAAGGTTTGTGTTCCTCCAGTTGATGAAAGCTCACTGCAAGACTCAACCCACGCTCAAGGTTGGTGTTCCTCCAGTTGATGAAAGCTCACTGCAAGACTCAACCCACGCTCAAGGTTGGTGTTCCTCCAGTTGATGTTGGTTTTCAAGAAAGTTGTATTGTAATATAACAATAGACATTCTTCGATCAGGCGATCATGATACGCTACATAGGACTCAAATATTTATATATTTTTTTGAAGTGCCTGAACTCGGTAAGGATATCAAAATGAAAAAGTCTTACATTTTTGGGTATATACTTCTACGTTAATGCTTATTTGTTATTTTCAACCTAAAAGGACAGGTCAGAGATCCCAAGGCTCAGACATTGCCATCCCTAATTTAGAAATGGTGTTTGTTTGTAATTAAGCACAAAGCTACACAATGCGCTATCTCTGCTCTGCCCACCACGGGTATCAAAACCCGGAATATAGCGTTCTAAGTCCGCAGACCTACCGCTGTGCCACTGGAAGGCTAGAAATAGTAAACAGAGGAAAGGTTGTCAGCCAGCCACCTACATGGGTACTTTAACCTAATTGTGGGATTGATTGTCATATTTATAACGCTCTACAGCTAAAAATGCAGAGGATGCTCAGCCATATATCACGGCTCGAACCTTTGATTTTCGATTCGCAGTTTGGCACAGTTCGTGATGATATTGTTAGGTATCTGCTTGTTTGTTTGTTTCCGGTAGAAATTCATTCCCGAGGATCTTCAGCGATACAAGTCCTTTTTTGATTAAACCAGTTTATTCTTTCTCGATACAAACTTTTAGTACACAGTAGTTCCACAATCAGTACGTTTCTCGTCACTTTAAACTTAAGAAGTTTTATAATACACGCTATAAATCACAGCGATTCAAAATCTCGATAACTTCGCTCTCGACGATTGCAAAACACACACTTTACGGCTCACTAGCCCGAAACTAACAGAATTACAAATTACACGGAACTCAAAGTAACTACTGCTCTCTCTTCATTTATCTATTTTCCCCCGCTGGCTTTCCTCTGCCATGCTTTTATACTAACGATGAGGGCATCTCAAACACACTAGGACTTTCCCGATCATTCGAGAAACTCATCACGCACGCCAGCAGCGTCAAGTGACTTCCGCTGTCGTAGCAATATACACTACCAACTGCACTATACTGCACCTTGTAACGTACAGGTAACAAATTTATCTTTGTTGCTTAATACGTGAAAATGTTTCATTTCTTTAGTTGAATCTGTTACTTCCAGGTAACAGTTTAAATAAACCCAGGAATTTTGTTGGTTCCTCCATTGCACAATTAGATGAAATTTACCCATTTACCAAAATATATTTCACAAAAACATTTTTTGTGCCATATATAAATATTTAAGTTTATTTGTTGTTAACCGCAAAGCTACACAATGGGTTATTTAAGCTGTACTCACCATGCGTATCAAAACCTGATTTTTAGTGTCATAAGTCCAGAGACTGGGGAAGGGGGCACCTATTTAAGTAAGAAATGCAAAGAAATCATTTTTCCACAGTATTTTTATACTGCGTGCAATAGAGAGTTAACGCTCTACCATTTTTCATTTCCACTATTCTTATCACTCTCTTACAGTATTATCTATATCTTTTAGACATCATTACACACTTATGTACAGTAGTTAATTCTCTCATTTTGAATTTACGGTTTATTTAGCTGTGACCTAAGCTACAGATGTTCAGGCGATGTGCCTAATGAAGGAACGAATCATTAATTTCTGTTAAACTCGTTTTGAAGTTTAAATTACGCTCATTATACCTTAGCTTTCAAATAACTTTGAAATTAAATCCACTCTTATATAGTAACAAGTAATCATTTCAGGATACGCACCATTTGTTTCCTAAAGAAGGTGATTAGACAGAAGAATGAGGAGCAATTCGTGGTTAATTAGTTTCAAATAGAAGCAGTTGTTTCGTATCAGGAAATGTCGTCTGTCCTTCTAAGTCAGATTGTAGTTAAGGTGATAGCACAGAAGTCATCAAGATTTTTCTCATATGAAAGTTCTTCGATATTCAGGAAATATCTTTCCTACCTAACTCTCACCAACCATCAGTTCATTTGACATGTTTCATCATTAGATTTTCGAACACCTCCTTAGCTCGTTTACTCTGTTCTTTCTGTACGCCTTTAAGCACAAGTGACTTTGCGGGATGTTGTATTTCTTAGAGCGAAACTACACAATGGGTTATCCGCATTCTGTACACCGCAGGAAATCGAATTTCGAATTCTTGCGTTGCAAGTCCGTAAAGTTAACGCTGATTCACCGGGGGACAACTTGGAAGGTTTAAATAACTCATTTTTACACGTCCACGATATTTCATATTATACTTGACAGTTCAAGCTTAAAATAGTTATTTTTACTGACTTCGGTTCCAACCATAGAAATGTTAGTTTCTAACTCTGCTTGATAATTTTAAAGATTGCTTTTTGTTTTAATTATTTATAAAGTTTTATAGTAATTACTTAGCCATTTGTTGAACAATTTTTGCATTGATGTGTAGTGCGCTTAATCACATTTTAATGATACTTAGATCAATAATACTTTATTAGTTCACTTGCCTGAAGCATGAAATATTTACCTATATCAGCTACAAAAAAGGAACAAAATCGCTGAACCAACGGGGAGAGGGGAAGAGACTAGAGGGAAGACAGATAGTCAACAGTGCCCACCATAAAGTCTTGACTTTCATTTTCTGACAGAATAGTAACATTTGACCATCACTCTCTTAATGCTCCCGCTAACCACTAGGCCAAACTCGGCACTTTACTGTAAATATATATATACCCTTTTCTTGAACGTTAGCTGGATTATAAGATAAAATCTAAGGCTACATATCCTAAAACATACCTTTTAATAAATCTCCCACATGTTTTCTTTCGAACTACGGACAAAGTTTTACGTCAATCAATATCAAGTTCTATTTCAGTCTGGTATATGACAGATGACCTTTATTTAATGCCATTTATGTCTGGTATATGACAGATGACCTTTATTTAATGCCATTTCTGTCTGGTATATTACGGATGGACTTTATTCAGTGCTATTTCAGTCTGGTATATTACAGATGACCTCCATTCAATGCTATTTTAGTCTGGTATATGACAGATGACCTTTATTCAGGGCTATTTCAGTCTGGTATATGACAGATGACCTTGATTTAGTGGTATTTCAGTCCGGCATATGACAGATCTTTATTCAGTGCTATTTCAGTCCGGTATATGACAGATGTTCTTTATTCAGTGCTATTTCTGTCTGATATATTACACATTACCTTTATTCAGTGCTACTTTGTTTTTAATAATTCTACTTTATAAATGCTTTAAGTGGAAAGATTCAATTAAGATTATGCCGAATGAAATGAAATGGAATTCCCATTTTGCATTTTCTAAAAGTGACTTGTGTTCGTATTTCGTTCGCTTGAAGATTTTATAAACATTTTCTACTCACGAAAGAGCCATTTTTCAAAAACTTTGCTTAACACTATCTTTAGTGTGCGTGTTTTTTTTCAAACACAATAAAGGCATATAAATGATTTCAAATCGACTGGATATTAAAAATTTAAACTGTTGACGA